AGCTCCACCTCCAAAACCTCCACCGGCACCACCTCCGGCTCCTCCACCACCACCCAAACCGCCGCCGCCGCCAGCTCCACCTCCGAATCCACCACCGGCGCCACCACCAAGGCCGCCTCCACCAAACGTGTCCTTCTCAATGTCGAGCTTCCGTGCATCGGAGATTTGTACCACAAAGTACAAACCCAAGAACAAAATCATAACAAGAGGCTTCCCCATTTTTCTTCTTTCACTCTTCACTAACAAATGTTATGGAGAAGCAAATGACGTGTAAGCTTGGGTTGTATTATGCATTGATTGGATGATTGGTATATATAGGCACTTGAAGGAGATAGTTCATTAATGAATGCAGTTGGGGAAGAGAACGTTTGCAAAATTTATTGTGTGTTTTGATTTGTACCATAAGCTTTAATTTATTTATTTTTTTTTCTTTTTCAAATTCAACGTAGATTTTTCCCTTGCACATTGGATCATGTGGCCCGTTACAGATGATTTTGGGCTGTTAGCATCTCAACTATCAACCACCTTAGTTTTTCACTGTCCAATATAGTTCATTTTTGTTCAACTTGGCCCACCTTCATCTCTGTCTCTATGACTTTGTGTTACCTTAATTAATAGGTTAGGTGTGAGAGTCATTAATATTTTGCAAAATAGCCATATTTTTTCTCATAGATTAGCAAAAGTGAATAAATAAGAAATAATTAGAAATATTGAAAGAAAGAAAAAAAGGGAGTACCAACACTGACACATCTCATACAGTATAAGTTACAGAACCAATTATGGACCTTGACAAATTAATGTACTGTGGCCTTTTGACTTCATCCACCCAATCCATTACAGCAACATAATCAAATTCCAATAGAAAAATTCAATAACAATATATTTCAGCAGAATTATGTTAGAATATACACTTGTGAGTTGTCCCACATTGTCTGTACAGGGAAAATAAGCCTAACTTATAAGCTTAGTAGGCTACTCCTCCTACCACCAATTGGTTTTGGGATGGAACCTCACTTGGGTTTCATTTGGGCTTCCCTGATTTGGTACGCTTGTCCGTGGGACCGCACCCGTCAACCCCAGTTTTGTCATTGTATCAGAACCGGTTCACTCAGCCCAGTTGGGCTTGGGCCTACGTGGGACCGTGCAATGACGTATCCGTCACCCAACCCAGTTGGGTTTGGGCTTCCGAAGGACTCACAAGTGAGAGAGGATGTTAGAATATACAATTGTGAGTTGTCTCACATTGTCTGTACAGGAAAAATAGGTCTAGCCTAAGTTATAAGCTAGTTGGCTACTCCTCCTACCACCAATTGGTTTTGGATAGAACCTCACTTGGACTTCATTTGGGCTTCCCTGCTTTGGTGCGCTTCGTCCGTGGGATCGCACCCGTCAACTTTCGTTTGTCAAATTACAATGGTAGTAATTTCAATTTTATAATTTCTATTACAAAACTTCCCAAGGATTGTTCCAATAAATAATGTTCACTTGGATTTAGTTGTTTCCTTGGATTTTCTATTGAATTCTGACAATTCCAACGTAGATTTTCCAACAGTTGTAATTACTGATGAGACAAACAAATCCAATGAAAATTGCATTCATATTCCAATAAAAATTCCTATAACAATAAATCATTGAAAAAGGTGGTTTTTAATCAAGGCATTTCAACTAAAAATATAAGAGAAATTTAATTCCACATATCAAGATTTTAGTGTTGATCTCCGTTAGAAAACAAAAATTATGACATTAGATTATATATTATAATTTCTATTGGTATAATTTTTCATTGATTTTTCCGTTAGGAACTTATTTTTTGTTTATTTTTTTTTAATTATCTTTACCGCAATCTATATCTATATATATATATAAAGAGGAGCAACAAAGCATTAAATTATATTGTCATGCATTAAATTTTATTATCCCTCTAAAACTTTCAACATTCAATTTTATTAGCCCTCCAAAGTTTTCAATATTCAATTTTATTAGTTTTCACATACCACCTAAAACTGTTATATTCGGTTACAAGATATTTAATTTATTTATTTTTCATTTAATTATGATTTAGTATTTTTGCTTNAATTTATTCAGAAACATTTTTTTTTTTTTTTTTTTTTTTTTTTCTATGAATTTGTATATGTGCAAATGCACATGTTGATTACTAGTTGTGTTATGTAATGCACAGTGCAAAAAGAACCCACGTTACGGGCAATTAGTAGTACAAAATGTATTCATTTTTTGATGAATAAGTGTCTTTATCACGTTTTGCCATATTCAGTAGATTTATATACATGAACAGCAACAAATTTTCCTATTTTTATTCTTTTTCCTTTTGGTTTGAACAGAGAACTGTGCGAAGAATGGAGGGAGGGAGAGTTTGGCATATGACCTCATTGAGAGAGAGAAGTTGCATATGAACTTATTGAGAATTAAAATATCAGAAATAAGTCATGTTAATTGTTAGGCGGATCCACCATATCTTTTTTTAATAAAGCAGCATACTTATATTGTGAAGCATACTTGTTTTTATATTATTTTTAACATTTCACTTGGAAAATATGCAAACGGTTATAAAAAAATTACAGAGTGCCTAACAATTAGGTCTATGTCTGGCTAACAGTAATCAAAGTGATTCAAAATATTAAATAGATGTAATTAATTTACTTAAGAATACTTCACTGTTAATTAATGACGTTCCTAGGACGAAATAATACTTTCTAATTTACAGAGAAGGAACACGTGTAGGAAATTTCCTAGTATAACAGAAAATAGAATCCTAATTATAAAGTTCAAGGCTAAGCTTAACTAGACAACTCGTTTTCAGATTAATTCATATCACACTTCATCATAATTATAATGTTCAAGGATATGCTTAACTAGACACCTCTTTTTCAGATTAATTCACTTATATGACTTCAATTTTGAATGTGGCTTTAGATCAAAATCAGTTTTCTATTTCATATTTTCTGCCATCACAAGGTTTATACATTATACATAAGCTACTATAAAATTTGAAATTTATTACAACAATCAACATTATCTTTGCATTACAAATTCAAGGAATATCAATAACTTTAACAGAAAAGAAATGCCTTTCCATCCTTGTAATTGTAAATAACACTGTACAGTTCAGAGGTAGATTTCCACAGAAGAAAAACATATTAATATTCACATTAGGACCAAACAGAATAAAATAAAAAACCAATACAACCCAGGGTTGTTTCATTAATAGAAAAAAGCCCAAATGACCAGTGGTAGCCCCATTACTCATACATAACATCACAGCATGCAGCAAGAACAAGAAATCCAAGTTTTGCTTTGCTGTTTATGATTACACAGTAGAAACTAGAAAATTGGCACCACTTAGCCAAAACCAAAAGAACAAAATACCAAACCGAGCTTTCACAAAACAAAACGCGCTTAGGAGAAGAAAGGACACGACATATTTTTTCCTCTCCATTTTTTTTTTTT